GGAGGTGTGTGGTGGTTTGTGGTTGGGGTCACACACCTTTCCACACAATACATCACCGCCTTAATCCCGACAAACACAATTGTCTAACACCATCCCTTATCCACACACATACACACACCCCCTTATCACACACATACAACGTTATCTCACACAGACAATACAACACACCTTTATCCCCAACACACACACACACCATCACAAACCTCCTTATCCACACTCACGGCTACAGAAGGGTGGTGGGTTTATAAGAACCCAGCGCAAGCTACCCTTACCAACACAGCGCAGGCGGATGATGGATATCTCGATTGTTTGAGGGAACAAACCCTTATCGCACACCAGCGAAGTGGTAGACATACACATACCCTTATTCCACATCCAGGCAACAAAAAAACACACCTCAATCCACACCACACACAAACAACCCTCACACACACCATCACCAACACACACAATCCCTTATCCACCACACCACAACACCTACCACACAAATATACACCCTTATCCAACCACAACACACACTACACACACACCCTTATCCCTGTCCTCCCAACACTCGCCCTTATCCACACAACACACCACACACCCTCATCCACTACACATTTATCATATTATAAACCTAGCATCCATATCGTTCTTCGACCCGGCCCCAGCTGGACGGTGGGAAGACACGCTGTTGCCACACTCTATCCTTTATACCAGACAAATTATATTTCCCATTTATGTTGCGCATGGGAGTGTGGATTGTGGGGTGATGCGCCGCAGGCAAGTGTCAGAGGAGAGATGGAAGTGGCTCCACTGGTGGCATTTCGATGGCTTTGAAGGGAGAGGCGAAAATTAGTTGATGGGGTTGGGTTATGGTGTGGGGGTGGTGTTGATGGTGATTGAGGGATAGGTGGTGAATGAGGGTGTTATGGAGAGTTGTGTCGCGGGGGGAGTTGATGGTGGGAAGGGTGGGTTGTTGGTTATTGGAGGGTGATGGTTGGTGGTTGATGGTGGGTAGTTCGTATAGGGGATGGGATGAGTTGTGGAAATAGGCGTAAGAGTGGCTGAAGGGAGGCGAGGGGATTTTAGTGGGGTGTACGGTAGGTATTTTAGGTACCTGAGAGTGGTAGTTTTGGTGGGGATTAGCACGGATGGGGAGTATTAAGGTGTTGGGGTATCTATAAGGGAGAGGCTAAGTAGAGACGTGGAGGGTGGGAGGGAGTGGAGTTATGTTAAGTTAGAAGAAAGGGGGACAGAGGCGGATGCGGGAGAAAGAGATAGAATTAGATTTAGGGTAGATTCGGAGGATAATGGGATGGCATAGGGGTAGATATAGAGATGGGTAGATCTACGTAGAGGAGATGGAAAAGGAAAAGGGTAAAGATTGAAGAATGATAAGGGTATATGTGTGTGGTGTGTGTGTGTGTGTGTGTGCGTGTGTGTGTGTGTGTGTGTGTGTGTGTGTGTGTGTGTGTGTGTGTGTGTGTGTGTGTGTGTGGTGTGTGTGTGTGTGTGTGTGTGTGTGTGTGTGTGTGTGTGAGAGAGAGAGAGATGAGAGAGAGAGAGAGAGGAGAGAGAGAGAGAGAGAAGTGAGTGAGAGAGAGAGAAAGAGAAGAGAGAGAGGAGAGAGAGAGAGAGAGAGAGAGAGAGAGAGAGAGAGAGAGAGAGAGAGAGAGAGAGAGAGAGAGAAGAGGAAAGAAAAAATAGGAGAAAAAGATGAGGAAAAAAATAAAAGAAAGAGAATGAAGAAGACAGGCAATACGAAAGAGAGAAACACGGAAGAGAGAGACAAGAAAAGAGCGAGAAAGAGAAAAGAAGGACAAAAAGCGAAGGAGAAAGGGACAAAGAGAACAAAATCAAACCACGTAAACGCAATTTTTTTTCTTCTATTCACCGTCATTCTTCAGGATCTGTTTATTTTCTATCTTTAGCAGAGCATTTTGGGAGAATTTTTTTTTCTCTCTCTCTATCTCTTTGGGGGAGAGAGAGGATAGGTTTTAAGGTCTCTCTCTTCTCTTTCTCTTTCTCTCTCTCCCGGGGTTTTTTCCTCTCTTTTCAGCCTCTGTCTCTTTCGAACTTTTTCTCTGTCTTTCCTCTTGGCTTATTTTCTCCTTTTCTTTTCTTCCCTTCTCTACCTTTGTCTGTTTGTCTTTCCTCTGTCTGTCTTCTTCCCTCCCCCCTCCCCTCTCTCTCTCTCTCTCTCTCTCTCTCTCTCTCTCTCTCTCTCTCTCTCTCTCTCTCTCTCTCTCCTCTCTCTCTCTCTCCTCTCTCTCTCTCTCTCTCTCTCTCTCAGATGAGAAATTGAGTAGATCATAAATAAACCCGAATAATCTCTTGGCAAAAAGAAAGGAAAAATAGAACTTTAAAAGAAAAAATATATCGACATATTTTTCTTTGTAATGCTGCGCCACTTCCGAAGAAGCGCATAAAAAAGCGGACATCTCAATTTTTTCATCTCTTTCTCTTTGTCTCTCTCGCTGTCTCTCATCCCGCAATAAATCGGGATTATAACCGCATCCTCTTCTATCCTCGTTCCTCTCTTCCTCCGTTTCCTTTCTACCCTCACTCTCCCCGCCTCCCATACCGGCCGCAGCTTCTCAGCCCTGCTCTCTTTTACTACCATGCCGGGCTGAGCATTTTCTGTCATATTTTTCCTTGTTTATGCGCGCAACCTCCTCCACCCGGGATCAGCAGCGCGATCAAACTGATTCTGGTCATTTTGGTCACTAGCTCTTATAGGGGGGCGGTTGTAAGGCTCGCTCGCTAGCCATGAAGCCGCTATGAATGGGGGAGACTTGTAATATCGTGGACAGGAACGAGTCTACATATATATTGGCTACTCGCTCTTGCACGGACACTGAGAGTGAGGCTCCGAGGCTAGCCATGGCAGGAGCGCTGGAAGGATCCCTTCTATCATTTTAGGATGAAACGAGTCATCGAAACGTCAAACTGACCAAATCGAAATACAAAGACATGGATTTCTGCGTGGGCATGTATTTGTGTGTCTCTGTCGATGTTTTAACTTTACTTATTTCTATCTTTCCAGCTAGACACATGCATACATCTGTTCTACATTGTCAGTTCAATCTATCTATCTATCTATAATCTATCTAACCTGTTTATCTATTATCTATCTATCTAAACACACACACGCTATATGTAAATATATATATAATATATATAATATATTATATATATATATATATATATCATATATATTATATATATATATATATATATATATATATATTATATATATAAATATATATATATATATATATATATATATATATATATATATATATATATATATATATATATATATATATATATATATATTATATATATATATTATATATATGTTATTATATATTATATATATATATAATATATATATAATATATATATATATATATATATATATATATATATATATATATTATATATATATATATATACATATATATATATATATATGTATATATATATATATATATATATATATATATATATATATATATATATATATATATATATATATATATATATATATATATATTATATATAATATATATATATATATATATATATATATATATATATATATATATATATATATATATATATATATATGTATATATATAGTATATATATATATATATATATATATATATATATATATATATATATATATATATATATATATATATATAATATATATATATATATATATATATATATATATATATATTATATATATATATATGTATATATATATATATATATACATATACCTATAAAAAAAAAAAAAATATATATATATATAATATATATATATATATATATATATATAATATATATATATATATGTATGGGGAGATCCATGTTGAACAGATTGTCGCAAAGGGAACGACCGAAGGGAAGGCAAGAAAACCACACGAAATATGCCGCAAGGCCATTTTTTCCGCTATTGCTTTCGTCAGGGCCAATAGCGAAAGGCCTCTCGGCATATTTCGTGTGTTCTTGCCCTTCCCTTCGTCGTCCCATGATATATGTAATATAATATATATATTATAATATATATATATATATATATTATATATATAAATATATATATATATATACATATGTATATATAATATTACATATATAATTATAATATAATATATTATATATTATATTATATATATATATTATATACATTATATATAGTATATAATAACTTATATATATATAATATATATATAAATATATAATAAAATATATATAATAATAATAATAATGCAATATATAATATATTATAATACATATAAAAAAAAAAAAATAAAAAATATATATATAATATATCTATATATAATCTATATAAAATTATAATATTAATATATACATATATATAAATATATAATATATATAAATATATAAAAAAAAATATATATATATAAATATATATATTAAAAATCTAATATCTATCACCATCTATCACTATCTATTAAATCACTATCCAAATAAAAAATAATAATCTATATATATATATATAGTTATAATATATTATATATTATATTATATATATATATATATCTTTCATATTATACAAACACATATATATACACTCATTTTGCAACAAGGAACGCAGAATAGACGAAAAACATACCATAACATAATACATAGACGGAACCTACGATAAACAGCTTACGAATCAATCGATGAATATCATTACTGCTATCATTATAATCTCTTATCACCGAGATTATGAAAGTTCCCAAAGCGATGGACATCACTAACACCAATTAAAGATTTTAGAAGATGCTTTCTAGAAAAATCAAGAAAAGGAGTAGACATGGAAAGGAGGACGAATAACTGACACCTTAGCGACTAAACAAATTAAAATCACAGAAAATATGGGATGTATGTGCATTGCATCCCCGTCTCATCGGTGATGGCACTGTGATATTAAGTCCCCAAGATTGCCAATAAACTGAATGGGGATAGTAATTTATCATTTTTAAGGAATACGAGTT